CCCCAATGACTAGCTCTCCAAAAATATGACAAATAAAACTTACATTGTAGATATAAATGGCACGTTAAATTCAGTAAGTCAATCCCTATAAATGAAGAAGAGGAGGAACAAAGAGGCAGCAGCCCAGAAGTGACAGGAAAAGGTGCGAGACGTGAAGAGAAGCGGCGGCTCCCCAAGCGGCGGCCAGCAGAGGCTCAGCTGCTGAGCTCATTGAGCACGACCCTCAGCTCGTTATTGAGGACTCGGTTTTTCTCAACCTCCTTGTAGAAGCGATCTGTGGCGCCCATGGAAGCGGACGAGGGAGAACGGAGGGAAAGGGGGAGAGAGGGGAGAGGAGAGAGAGGTTAGTGCAAGAGAGACCAAGGAAGATGCACAGGAAGATACTGGCTGAGTTAGAGGGAGAGACATGAACAAGGTGGGGAGTGAGGACACGTCAGGCAGAAACCTGCAGGTAGAATATGGGAGAAGCAAGGATTCTGAACAAAGTATTCCTAACACCAGACTAATCTCATAAACAATAATAAGCTATTAAGATATCAATGATTCTATGCTTAAGATAGAAGGTTTAAACATTAAACAGGCTCCGTTTAACTGGTGTCCTCAGGGACGTCTATTAATGAGAGTGTAAGTCACCTCAAAGCAGTAAAGCAAAAATACTTCTGCTTGACCTCACTACCTACAAAGAGGACCATTTCAGCAGAAGGTACATTTGCAGCCACGGACACCTTGTGACACGAGAGGTGAACCACTAATAAAAGAGATTCATAAGAATTAGGGCTTGCAGGATATTTAACAAACCTTAGGCCTTAGAGGGACACCGTTCTCAAGCCACTATCCTTCAGCACCAAAGGCAGATGATATATTTCGTGTAGCATAACTATTAATGGCTGGAAAAATGAAAAAGTAACATGGATAATGATGACGGTGGGGGACGGGGTAGTGAGTGGCCTCTAAGTCTCTCTGCCTGTGATCAGAGGATTGACGGTTTGTGCCCTGACCTCGGCAGCACAGTCACATAACTGTGGGCCCTTGACCCCCAGCCCCAGGGTAGCCACACGATGGCTGACCCTGCACTGTGACCCCCAAGCTATGGAGAGCAAGATGGTTTCGGCAAAGAGACAAATTTGACCTACCTGTATTTGTTCTTGTGCAATTGGCAAATAAAGGATTCATCATCATTTAATGTCAACAAAATTAGCTGCAGTAACCCTGAACAAACAAGGTGAAGCCCATGCTTACAATCATAAATGATTAATAAATGTTTTATCCGAAATTACCATGTATTTTAATTAGCAAATACAGTAAGTTTTCAATTGTATCATCATGCCCTTCTAAGAGCGGCAGGTGGTCCACATGCCCTCTCTAGGCCGGATGACTCCCTCAATGAGAGCTTTAGTGAAGGTGCCAATGAGCTGACGCTTATTACAGCCGCTAAATATCCACTGAGAGCTAAACATTATGGAAAATACTGCAAACAAAAATGAACAAGGCATGGACATAAACAAAAACAGAAAGGAAATCAGGAGAGAGTTTTTAGATGTTTATTATAGAAGATGAGACGACAGTAGAGAAGAAAGTGATACAGAATTAGATATTGGCCATTTCCAGCAGATCACATCTCAGGAGATAAACATTGTAGGACTGACAAAAATGTGTTCCTGTGTCTCTTCTAATGTGGAGGAAGACTCACTAGAGCACATTATTCTCAGACGCAGAAAGAGAAAACAAAATAATCCAGTGTAGGAAATGCGTGGGATGCAATTTTTTTCCATAAATGGTTAAGTAAACACGGGTATTTTTACGGGGAGATTTTACTGGCCCTAACCAGCACTCGTTCATTATTTAGGGTGAGCTAATCCTCCATCGTGTATCAAATATGACTTCATCCTCGTTTTGAAAGTTTCTGAGGGGGGCCAAGAACGCCTTTCAAAATCAAAAAGCAAAACGGCACACTGGAATGGAGACCAATGGCAGGGAGTGACTGTGAAGCAGAGAGCGCTCGACGGAGAAGGAAAAAGGGAGCAACAGGAAGGAGCAGGAGGGGAGAAGGAGAGGAGGAGGAGATCGGCACAGAGGCATCTACAGTGTGGTCATGTCGTTGAGGGCAAGGTCCAGCTCCTCGCTGAGAGCTTTGCCCTTCAGCTTCTGGGAGTAGACCTCGTCTGATGGGGCCCAGGAGAGAAGAGACAGAGCCAGAGAAGAGGGGGAGAGACACACGGGGTGGAAAGAGAGCGAGATGGTGAGCGGAAAAACAACTTAGGCTCAGTAAAATTAAATAAGAACTGGATGACCACAGTGGCATGCATGCAAACAAACAAGCAAAACAACAAATTAAAGAAAAAAGTAAAAAAAACAAACAAACCAAACCACTGCAGGATCAAACAAATGGACAAAGATGATGGAATAATTGAAAAAGGATTTTTAAATATGAATGTATATTTGCCATCGATGGTTTAATATCTAAAACCAAAATTCCCTTAACTCAGTCTTCACACGTGAACCACGAACCTTACACCACTACCGTGATTATCGCTCCACACCACATGCAGAACCACAGCTCGACACCACTCCCAATAACCCCTCCCCCCCCCCGCTTCCACTTGAGGTGTCCAAAACAGGGATCTATCAAGCCATGCATCACCCATAGCTGCTCTCAATCTCCATTAGTCACACGGGTGAGACTCAAAGGGTTACGGGTTCTCGGCTTGGGGGACACTAATCCACTCAGAAGTTCCTCTAACCATGCTTGTAAAATGACTTCAGAACAGTCAACACATAAAAAGGTTACAGGCGCTGCAGTTGACACTGTAGTTTTCCTACAGTAAAACTTAATCTTGGACTGACCCAATAAAAATCCACAAGAAAATAGCCACTGGATAAGCTAAAACAGCATATGTACTGTAGCAAATATACCATGAAAAGGTGTACACAAGCAGCTATTACAATGACACTACTGCCAAAGCGATATTTAATGGATACATGTTTCATATTACACTGATTCTTTGTATTACCTTCATTAAATATTAATATTTAATTAAGGTAATTAATATTTAATATTAATATTCATTCATATTAAGAGAGGAGATCAAGCACCTGGCCACTTGGTGCACGGACAATAATCTGCTCCTTAACACCACTAACACCAAGGAGCTCATTGTGGACTTCAGGAAGGGAAGAAGAGGTTCACATGAACCCATTTACATCAACGGGATGGCTGTTGAGCCTGTCTCATCCTTCAAGTTCCTGGGGACCCACATTTCGGAGGACCTATCCTGGACCACCAACACCTCTAGCCTGGTTAAGAACGCTCACCAGCGCCTCTTCTTCTTGAGAACACTTAAGAAGAACCAGCTGTCCTCAGCCACCCTGGTGAACTTCTATCGCTGTACAATAGAAAGTATCCTAACCAACTGTGTAACAGTTTGGTACGGAAACTGCTCTGTTGCTGAGCGTAAGGCACTGCAGCGGGTGGTGAAAACTGCCCAGCGCATTATAGGGACTCCACTTCCAGCCATTGAGGACATCCAGAAGAAACACTGTATGCGTCGAGCACGCAGTATTCTTAAGGATTACTCTCATCCCGCCCACAAACTGTTTTCTCTCCTCCCTTCCGGTAGGCGCTTCAGGAGTCCCAGGTCAAGAACCAGCAGACTAAGGAACAGCTTCTTTCCCAGAGCGGTCTCCTTATTGAACTCTGCCCCCCCCTGACACCTGCCCCCCCTCACACACTCCTATACTCTCTCCATTATCATTGCACTATTTAATTTTTAATGCACTACACTGCACATACATATTTGGAAAGCACTATCCATTGCACAATACAGTTGTAATTTTCTGATTATATATATCTGTAAATGTCTATTTGTAAATTCCTGTTTCTAGAAATAGCAACTTGTATCTAGAAATAGCAATCTGTACATTATGTTCATATCTATCGGCAATTCCTGATCACAGTTAATAGCAACCTGTATATATTGTTCATCTATTAGTAAATTTCTGATTATAGTCACTAGCAATCTGTATATTATGCTCACAGTATATCCATCTGTAAATATTCCCCTTACTTTCTCCCTGCACATATCCCATTTAAGTGCACTTATAACTTATACCTTATCCTGCACTTACTGCTTATTGCACTCCTGGTTAGACCTAAACTGCATTTCGTTGCCTTGTACTTGTACATGTGTAATGACAATAAAAGTTGAATCTAATCTAATCTAATCTAAAATGCTAGTGACCAATTCTGGTCCTCCACTGTTATTACAGCTAAAATTTTCCATTAGAATTTCAATTATCTTCTAAATTTAATTACAGCTGACTCGGTATTCTTAAATAAATTCCTAGCTAAAGGACCCATTATTAAACAAGTTATTAAATTTAGGTTGTAATTATACTATCATCATATAAAATGAAAAAGAGAGTCACACAGGGTAACAGTTTCTGTTAGCAAGCAAGTACCAGATGCACAGAAATAGCTAGAAGGTCATTCATGTTAGAAGTTGCTGCTTCACAGCTACAGGCTGATAATGACACAGAAAACATACCTTCTAAATCATCGATTGTCTTTTCTAGTTTGGCGACGGATCTTTCTGCAAACTCAGCACGCGTCTCAGCCTGTAAAAAAAATCAACAGATAAGAGTCTGTTCTCTATAACCACAGTTCTAAGGTGCTGGAACAAATAATCAACTTATTTGCGAAGCTTTAGCCACTTACCTCTTTGAGCTTCTCTGTCAGGACTCTAATTTCCTCCTCATATTTATCCTCCTTTTGTGAATACTGAAGAAAAAGGTAGAAAATGTTAAACATTCAGAAATTTTACTTCATTGTGTGTGTGTGTGTGTAAAAAAAAAAAAAAGTGTCACTGATTTTCATTTCACCTGAAATATGTTGACACTCCCTGCCTCGCCAAGTGAGTCACGTGACACCCGCACTAAAGTAGGGTCACACTGTTGCCAAATGAGCACCTGTGGGTACCTAGGCCATGCTAGACGGACTGAAATACTGCCCCCTCACGCAGGGTAATGTCAGTAACGCTCCATTACGCAGATCAACCAAACTTTCTCCCAAAGAAAACAACCTACAGTGTGTTCACAAATTGCTGGTCCTCTATGCATAACATCTATTAATATTTCTACATGTACTCCTTGAATTAATCTTGGTGTAGCAGTGTGTGTGTGTGTGTGTGTGTGTGTATGTGTGTGTGTGTGTTAAACAGAGTGGTGACTCAACCAGACATGCAGGAGACAGCAGAGGGCTTAGAGACAGATATTTATCAGGATAAAGCACAGGGAGATGCGTATTTAAGGAGCAGATTTATAAAGATCAGAACCGGACGGACTTGCCAGCTGGAACTGCGGTCAACCGCTATTTATATTACTCTCCTTAACCTGCTACATGTAAAAAGCACTTTGATAATTACACAGGGGACACATGGGGTTAAGGCTAAATATTAACCAGTTAGTTACAAATCTTTTGCTTTCTATTTTACCCTCTACACGGCAGGACATAATACAAGGGGGCTGGCTGAATGTCACATGACTGCACTGAGACACTTCGGTGTATCATTAGACACGAAGGAAAGGGAATCAGTAACATGTGCGTAATACATTAATACCCCAAGTATACCAAACAGTGCATGAATTTGTAGTGTTTTTCTGCCACTAGAGCGAAATGTGTCTCTGCTTGCCAATGGTTCGAACAGGCAAGGAGTCTGAACTGCTCATCAATACATAGACCAGTGTGGTGTTCCTGGTTGGTTAGATCAATGTGCGGTGGTTCAAGTTGTGGTTTGATCAATGCGTCCCATCTATGGAACAATTCAGAAGCAGATTGACTTATTTCTCAATTTTCAAGGCCTCAGATTCCTATATCAGGAGAAGCTAATTACAGTAAAACTTAACAACTAATTAGAGTGTATCTTTAAACTAATGGTTAGCTACAAAGACCAGATGGGTTCTTGGGTTTTTTTTTGGGGGGGGGGGCTGGGCAGGGCAAATGACCCTATATCCTCAGCTGCCTACCTTCTCAGCTTGGGCTTCCAGAGACTTCAAGTTGTTGGTGACATTTTTCAATTCCTCCTCAAGGTCACCAGATTTACTGTCCAACAGCGAAATGAGAAAGAAGGGGAAAAGAGTGGAGGGGGGGGGGAGGAGAGAGCGAGTTCAGAAGGTGGTGAAGGTGGCTGAGGAGAACCCCGCATCCACGCACAGCGGCGCCTCCTGAAAGAGGAGCACAGCTGGGGGGCCATGAAGCAGCGGGACTCTGCTGCTAAATTTGAGTCGCCCTTCAACGTCCTGTTAAATAGACCAATGCTAAACACAGGCCCCTGACGTCAAGGCTTCGCCTTAGTGTCAAGGTGATCGGCTGGCTAGTTTTACAGCACAGCGCCAATCTTCCTTCGGTCAGAGACTTGAGGAAAGCAAAGCTAACCACAAAAAATGTTACGTCTAAATCTAAATTTGATTCCGATTTAGGTGATCTCATGAATAAAATATAGAAACTATAAATAGAAAATATATAAAAGGGTAAGCCAGGTGTTTATGGAATAGTGAGTTGAATTTCGCGTTTTACTACATAAACTAAATCAAATTTTAAAATTATACTTAACAGTTACACCTGGGGATCTCGATATACGCCCAATTTTATTGGAGGTCCTGGTGGGACATCTGCCTCCTTCACCAGAGCAGGGGGGGTAGCAGAGATCACACAAAGCTAGAGCGAGGATGGGATGGGTCACGGGGAGAGCTTAGCAGCCCTCAGCCGCGTGACAGGAAGAGGAAACAGGATACGGAGCACGGCAGACGGGAAAGGCAGTGCTTAGTGACACGGTGAGAAGCGCCAAGCCGCCCCGAGGGCCGCAGTTGTACCTCTTCCTCGGTGGACATGAAGGATTTCAAATTCTGGTCCATTACTCTAAGCTCCTCCTCCAGCTGCCGGATTCGGCTGAGTTAGTCCAGAAAATGGGGGCACGGGAGGAGCCGGGGGTGCCGTGAGAGACGGGCATGTCCCGGACGGGCACATTCAGGCATGCACCACAAAACAGAGGGAGAGAATAAGCCCAGGTGCCATCTGTGCTTCACATGTCCCACCACAAAGCTGGGCACAGATCATAGAAAATCAAAGCTGCTATCTGGACCTGCTGATATTTTCATGAAGTACCTATGAAACAGCAGCACATTAGACTGATGCAGCTACGTAACACAGGGTTAAATCATATCAAGGCCATTCAGCTGCTTTAGGAGTCACATCTCGGCGCCGATATTCATCATGCACCATAAAGGCTACGTTCATATAATGACAGAAGCTCTAGGTTTAGTTGATTTAATACAAAATTAATTCACTTCTACATGTAAAGAAGCACAAGTTTATTGCTTGTTAAACTGCATTGTAAATGATTAGATTGTAAATATTATATAAACCATCAGACAAGGTCCTGATGGGGATACATCGGATTATGACAAAAGCAGAGCAAATTAACTCCATCCATCCATCTTCTGTTACTGCTTGGCCTATTCAGGGTTATGGGGGTCCAGAGCCTATCCTGGAGGCTATGGGCACAAGGTAGGGAACAACCCAGGATGGGACGCCAACCTATCACAGGGCACACACACACACCAGTCACACCTATGGGCAATTTGGTATCTCCAGTTAATCCTAGCATGTTCTTGGACTGGGGGGGAAATTGGAGTACCCAGAGGAAACCCCACAACAGAGGGAGAAGCATGCAAACTCCACACACACGGAGCCATGGGGAAGACTCGAACCCAAGTCCCAGATGTATTGAGGCGACAGTGATAACCACTGTACCACCATTCAGCTCCGAGCTAATAACTCATGTGGCTAAATTAAGACTGTAGATCCTGCACTTCGATGAAATACATGTTAAAAAGTAGGACTTACGCCTCTGCCACCTCTGCACGCTCCTCTGAGCGCTCGAGATCGCCCTCCAGGATGACCAGCTTGCGAGCGACCTGCAATGATCAATAACAGCCATTTGATCCAAACCACAGCATATCAGAGGGTCTCCAGAACGTAGCCAGGAGGCCGGGGGAGCTAACGATAGGTCTCAATCAGTTCAGTATTGATGCCCCCCTTCCCCTCCCCGTCAACGCCATCCACACCTTAAACATGTGCCATAAACCCAGGTCACGTGACCACACGATATGTCCGGTGTGTTCGTGGTAGTGGCGTTCAAGGCAATCTTCACCATGGCCACCTTTCATCTGAGACAGCATGAAACCGACTTCGTACATCGCCGCCGCCCCCCCCCCTGAGAAAATGCACCCTAGGCGGTTGCCTATGTCACCTAGCGTGTTGACAAGTGCTGGTGACTATGAGGGGAGCTGCGACATCCCTCAGCAGGATGCCAGTTCCAATCCCCCTTTAGATGCTCGTTTTTGCCCCAAACCCCAGGTGCCGTCCCCCCGCTAAAGACGCAGCCCCCGGCATTTAGAACCCACGCATTTGCCCTGACCCGAAACACGCCTTTCACACAGAGTCATAAGCTCATTAATCAAAACGTTCCAGCACCGACAATCTGACTCCTGAACCTTGTGGTGTATGGGGGAAATTCTTGACAGGTCTGCACAGGGCCCTCCAGCTAGAGCGGGTTTGGGGGGGGGGGCTCGAGATAATTCAATTACCACGCCGTCTAAACGAGCTCCAGATGCAACGTGAAGAGGCTAATAAGCGAGGAGAGACAGGAATGTTAATTCACAGCCAGAAGACCAGAGGGCCGACTGGACATCACAAAGGCGGCATGTGTGCCATTCCACCCCGGTGGGGGGGGGGGGGGGGGCACAAATACCACCAAACGCTGCTAAGTCCCAGTCCAGCATGGGCACAAAGAGCGGCCGTCCCCATAAAACATTCACCTTGTCGCTCACAAATCCCAAACTTGGCCTGACCCTGCAGATTTCCACCATCATTCACAATGCAAAGGGAAGTGAAAGAATCTGTTATTCATCGCCATGATCCGCTGGGATTTGCCATAACTGAAGAACTCGGGGACAGTGACCGCACAAATGATTCAGCTCAGTGTTTCTGAGCCCAGTCCTCCAGCACACCTCAAACACGAAATCAAGAACGACTCAAACCATCAAGAACACCGGGTATGTTTTCTGAGCTGGGAGGGAACGGAAACATGGACTGTCTCGGGGTCCCTGAGGACTGGGAGAAACACTGGTTTCGAACAACAACCGGTATGAGACCGCAGTCATGTGACCAAGCTGGGAAAACACTGGAAGTTCAGTCAATACATCATCATCAAATTTGCCAGATAGTACATATGGCTTTGTGTACCCTAACTGTTTTAGCAGAGAGAGACCACACAACTCAATGCTACCGGGAGACATCCAGCACAAACCGCAGAAGCACGGGACATGGCTGACCCACCTCCTCATACTTGCGGTCGGCCTCCTCAGCGATGTGCTTGGCCTCCTTAAGCTGCATCTCCTGGAGCTCCATCTTCTCCTCATCCTTGGTTGCCCTGTTTTCTATGACCTTCATGCCTCTGGAGATGAGAACAGGAGAGGGGCCCTCAGAGGTCCATACAGGACGCCACAAGCTGACTTGGCTCAGCACGGCACAGGACTACCGGTGGAGCATCTAGCCTAACGTAACATCTTCCGGAAGCTGCCGTTGTCCAGGAAGTGTGGCTTCTCCGGTAAGGGCGCTACACATGCAGCTTTCGACTGACGCAAGTCATCCGTTTCAGAAATCCTTACACAAGTCAAATTTCATGTAAGTCAGATTTACACAAGTTGAAAGCTGCTTGTACCATTTACAATGAACATTAAAATACAGCTACAGTCCAGCACAGGGAAGCTCCTAACACCATTAGCCCCAAATAACACTAACATATAATAAAAAATAAATCACTGGGAAAGATTTCGGGAGCGGCATAAGCCTTAGCGGGCTACGCTTCTGTGTCTGTGATCAGAAGGTCCCTCACCCCCAGCGACATTATTTCTATACTTGTTCTTCAGATACATGTACCTGCTATGTGAAAAATAAAAAACTCCAGTAGGGCCCTGCAGATGTACTCAAGAGTCAATTTGTATAACATGGAAAAAAAAATCCGTAGATATTAGTTTGCCATAGATTAACATCAATCGAGAAACTACACATAGATACAAAGGATATCAGGCTTTTGTCACATTCTGAAAGTGTCTAGCAATAGGTTGAGCATCCTGATCCACATTAAGGAGAGACACTGAGGAGTGGGCGTGACTGAATGTGGGGTCACCATGGCGACCGGGCCCTCTTACCGCTCGCTCTCGTCTGCGGCCTTCTCGGCCTCCTCTAGCTTCTGCAGCGCGGTGGCCAGCCGCTCCTGGGCTCGGTCCAGCTCCTCCTCCACCAGCTGGATACGCCGGTTCAGGGACGCCACCTCGGCCTCTGCCTGTGCGAAGAGACACAGAGAGCGCTGGTCAGCAGAGAAGCTTCCGGAAAGCCGGACACAGTCTGCCCCTGTCCATATGAAGACGACATCAAGGTGCGACATCTATCAGAGTGACAGCCTGACAGCCATTAGGGACGAGGCGGCAGGTGGTGCGTGGCTTGGTGGGGGTCAGGACACTGTGTCTGTGATCAGAAGGTCGCCGGTTCAAATTCCCTTCCCAGGAGAATAATTTAACCCCCTGCTTTATCAACTGTACAACGCTTTGGATAAAGGTATCTTCTAAATATGTAAATTACACTCTCAAAGGCAGCCATCAGTGTGTGTTACAGAATATCATGTTATAAATGTCTAAAGAAAGGAGCTATTTGTTTTAAAAACAGGAGCCTAACAATGTCAATCCCCTTTAAATGCAGGACCTGAACACACCAGCTGTGACTTATTTACTAGTATTACTGGGTTGTCTATTTAAACTGAGCTAATTAACTATTTAACCACAATCTACCTACTCCATATATGGATATTATTCATGTAAATATTTTATCTGTAAAAAATAAAATTGTTTTCCCAGAGTATCAATCCCACAACATTTCATTTGTGCACCAGCTACCAGACGACGGGCAACCAACGAACTGCACATCAAGGGTATTAGATGGAAATTATTTATTCATGCTGCTTAAAAATTAAATACAAACACTTGTATAATGGAAAGAATATAGGTACTTATAATGCCAGCGTTCACGACGGCATCCTTTTCAGACGCTATACCAACAAGAGTTTCTGTGGGGGCAACACTTAAAGGTGTTTCCACTGTGGCCAAGGCCAGTATTCAACAGCAGCAGATGGACCGGGTTCAAAAGCCACCACACAGTATCATTTATAATAAAACACACACACAGGCACGCGCAGTCAACTACGGGAGCCAACTGTTAATAAGAAACCCCAGTCTAAGGTAGCAGGAAGAGGGAATTGTTCATTTTCATGGAGCGAGAGAGGGAGAGAGAGAGAGAGAGAGAGAGAGAGAGAGAGAGAGAGAGCGCAAAAGAAAGTGCAGACTTGTTTCCCAGGAGAAGGGCCCTGTTTCTCTCCTGTCTGCTTTATCGATACATTCGTTTGACCCCGGAAACCTTCCTCACGCTGCTTCCCATCAATGTTAAGAAATGATTAACGTCTTTACGTGGCCAGCCAGGGAGTAGAGCCAGGACAAACTGGACTGGGGGGTAGGAGAATCAAGATAGGGGGCCAGGACTCTTACAGGGCTCAGCTTTGTCAAAAGTTTTTTTTTTTTTTATACACTGCAAACAGTGAACGGTTAAAATAGTAGAAGTTCAGGACAAGTCTGAACTCAACTTGCACATATATCATGCTTTTTCAAAACATCAGGTCACCTTTCAGCCTTTGAAACTTAATATCCGTTTGTTCCCGTCATCATCTTCATCATCATCCATTGGCAAAAAACATCGATCTTATATTCGGGCCCGTATGTACATGACAGGTTCATGATACCCACTGATCAACCGCAGACAGCAATGACAGCTGAGAAGCTTCCAGAACATTTGCATTGGTTCACTAAATAAGCTGCAAAGGCAGCCTTTCCGTACTGCGCGGGCTGCGCAGGCTGCGTGACGCAGGGGTGCAGGGGAATGCATTGTCTAATTGCTTTGCTGGCTGCCAGGCTGTAATTCGCAGCCAGAAGCCCAGAGCTCTCATTTTGGGGGCAGCCAGGTCATTCAGACAGACGGACGCAAATGGCTGTCACCTTTCAGAGCTTTTCCCCACACACACACACACATCTTTGAAAGAAATTCCCATCTCATGTTCACAATGTCACCACTTTTAAAAAATAAATTAAAAGCAGAATCCAGAGCCCATTAGGTTCTTCGGCATTTATACTAAATATCCAGCGACAAGGACAGTCCACCTTCAACCTGCAAAAAGCGTGTCACAAAACCTGATCAAACACAAGCCAGGGACCTTCACCGCCCTTACAGAACTGTGCAAGCCTTAGAATAATTGAGCCTTACTTCGGTTACTATCTCAATGACAATGAATCTAATTTAAACCAAAGAATAACTCAGTCGTTACACGATCACTATGTTCCAGTACCATAAGGCTATTAGTTAAAGGGGACCGCTCCTTGGTAACCAGTCGTTATGGGCAACACCCACCCACCCACCATTTTGAACCCACTTGCATGCACGCTGTCTATGTGTGTGTATGCGGTATTTGTCTATATACATTAATATATACAAATATACCGCATATCGCAAAAGGGTGCGTCCACTTCTCTGCACATTCCGAAGCGCAAATGACTGGAAATCGCCTCCCCTTCTTTAAATCATTCATGTAAAGCGGCAGGTTACGGCCGTCTGCCGCAAAATTAAACTTTTACGCCTTGCTCCGTTTTAGTTTTCATTTTAGGTAAAAAAATAAATATCATGCGGATATTTAAACAGCGCTCAGGTCGACATTGTTTTTGCGGATCCGTGTGAAATATCCCCGTATAGCCTAACTAAACATCAGTTTCAAGCGTCCCTGTGGTGGCGCTCCGTGTGCTATTTCACGCAATAAAAATGACTGTCCCCATGTACTCCGCATTTATAAACGATATGCCTTCATGTTCTCACAGGTTGATGTTTTATGTTTATCTTCCACAATTATCATAGTATATGGAAAATCGAAACTTAGTGACATAGCTTAAACTGTCCGTAATATCTGAAAAAGACACATGGGTATTGGCTTATTACGCAGCTGGTACTTAAGTCCATCATAAACTTAATTAGCACACTATTAAACATGACCACATGCAGCAATTACATTTAAACCAGTATTCAGTTCTGACGTTATTCCCCGTTAAAACTGAAACGTTTCAAAGACCCGGGTATCGCTCCGATGCCCGGGTACCCGGTGACTCTCCCCGCGGTCACCCTCACCCGCTCCCTGGCGTGTCTCTCCGCATCCACCTCCTTCTGCAGCGTTTCGGCCCGGTCCTCCGCATCGTCTGCCTGCTGCTGCAACGACTGGATCTTTCTCTTTACCGCCTCAATCGACGTCGTCCCGGCCATCTTATAGCTGTCCTACTCCGTATGACTGAAGCCGTTCAAGGTACGGGCTCTCTGGAGCTCCGAAGACGGCCTGTCTGCAGTATAATAAACTGCAATGACACTAATTATAACGATGTGAGCGTTAAAATAATAATAATGAAATAAGCAGCGATTTGTTATTTATTTTTTTAGACTGCCTCTATGGGTGAAGAGTTATCGGGACGCTGCTTTTCCAGTTGCCCTGTCCGCATTGCCTCCCCTGCGGGCCTGCGGCTGAACTACGGCTGCGATCCCACGGCAAAGTTGAACTTGGCCGCATCCCCTGCCTACCCCGCAGCCCTCCATCTTCCCCCCTCCGCCGTCATGATGTCACCGGGCGGAGGCTGGTCCAGTGTTAAAGGAATAGCGGGCGATCAAAGGCTTCCCCGAGAGTCAGACGCACCTCCAGTTACAGTAGGCTACATTGTTAAAGTCATCCCTCTTAAGTACAAGATCAACACGTTCAGCGACTATTTTTTTTTGTTGCTTACATATTTTTTCAGCTAAATGTAAATACTACTGAATGCTGCACCCAGAAGGCATCGCACGATAGTGTCTCAGTGTAATTAATAGTTTACTCTAATTACATTCCGTAGTAATGATACTATTTCCCTAGGTTAAACCGCGTGTGTAATCCGAGTTTATAATTTTGGAGATCAAACTTAAAATTCCACTACTCGATATGTTGAATGGGGCCACGTTTTCATATTTTAATGCTATAAATATTACTTTGTGATGGGCTATGTGAAGAGGAAAAATTAAAATACAGCCTTTAACCCTAACTATGGCACATCTGGCTTATTAGCATTGCTACAAATGCCAGTATATTGATCTTTGCCGAAACATTTTTGGTTTAGGGCAATTTGATGACTTCGTTATAATTAAGCATCTCATATCAGCGAAGGTCCACCCAAGACGGTATAGAGCAGGGCTATTCAAGGGCAGAACACTGCTGATTTTCCAACCTTCCTTTAGCTGTGAGCCAGGTGTGAAGCCTCTGTGGCCAATCAGAATCAGTCATTATTACTACCTGGGAGAAGTGAAAACAAGGCTTGGATTTGGAACTGAGGGCCAGATTTAAAGAGCCCTGCTATCGAGGTACTGTATACCTGTAAAAAGCTAAAATAAATTCAGTACATCTCCATTATCCAGTTTTGCTTTCCCCATGCAGTCTTCCAAAGGACAAATTTCACCACCACAGCTATCTGTAGTACAAACAGAACTAAAGGTCAAAGATCCAGAAGACAACCCAGAAAAATCAGTAGGACTTATCCGTGTGTCATGTGCTAAGGTCCCATTGTGCAATACATGAGACCTGGGCTTAAGTATGACAAGCTACATATATCCTTGATAACTAACTCATGAATACGGTGCCTGTATATTAACTGCAGATTAATAAGTATGGGTTTTGTAGGCTTTGGAACTTAACTTCCTGTCAAATCATGTTTAGGATGACATGAGGACCAATAGGAAAGAGCCATACTCTGCTGTGATGGCCACCTACAGGATGCGAAGACCAATAGGAAAAAGTCGTAGCCTTCTGTGATAGGCTGAGAGCCAAAACACATCATATCACTGTTATTGTAAAACAGCAGCGTCAGACATCTCACCTCTCCTGGAGGTTGTCCTGGGGTCTTTTATTTTTTAAATAATATTGTTTCAATTTTGTTTGTTTTTTTTTTTTTTTTGGTCATGGAATTAACACAGTGAAGGTTTGAAATGTGTTCAATTTCTGATACCAGATATGAGTAAAATATGGGGACATATTAGCAATTAAAATGGAAGGTGTCTGTGGTATATGTGTCTCTGGATGCCCTTGTTTTCTTGTGCATAGTGTCTAACTTTGGGAAAAGAGTTAATCACAATGCATAACATTGTTTGCTAAAGGAAATCAATGAGGGTTGTGGGAAATAGGAATTTCTTTGTGGACAGCCTCTTCAGGCAGTGAAGTCATCGACTATCATGGTCGCTTGGCAACGCTTAAGAAGTTACTTGTATAAGTGAGCATTTTAAAGATTGTGTTTGACATTTAAAGGTGGTGTTTTAATGATTATTAGCCAAAGAGAATAGATGCCTTACTCATGTACTTTCCAAGTGTGCGAAATGTATTTCCCTTAGCAAACCAGGAGGACGTCAGTCGTTGTGAAACAGTGAGCAGGCTTTGGAAAGTATGATTTCACACCACTGTAAACAAAAGCAACCTTTAAATTCCTGTCCTTCTTTGGTAACATAGTTGGAATTAATTTTCCGAAGGGTTCCCCAATTGCCCTGCAACCATGGCCCAGTGAAGTGATGAAATTGTTTTAACTGATATCTAATGATGAGACAATAAAAAAAATCTTGATTGTTTTGTGCTTGGTCTATTAGTATGACAGGATTGTTTACATATAAGATGTACTGTCTGTTTTACTAATATCCTGGAGGTACTGTAATAGAGCTGTCTTCTCTAGCTGCAATGGTAAAGGTATTAAGGTATGTTAAGAGAATGTCAGATTCACTTTCTGTCAGATTGCAACACTGACCCATACAATATCTCTGGCCTGAAAAGTTACTTAAACATTAGAGCATTTGCAATCATACCAAACAAAATTTCTTGGTCAAACCATCCTCTGATTAGTAGAGCTAAGCCATAGTGGCGCCTAAAAATATTTATAAAGAGAATCCTACAACCAACAAGGTGATAAAACAAGACCACTGATAGAAAGGGGTAGGCCTCAGGAATGAGAGGAATGAAAAGGATGCGGAACCGAACTTAAAAAAATATACCAGTGTTCATTTCATCCGCATGACAGAGAGAGGCGGAATATTTCTGAACACCAGCTATGAGAGCATTCACCAGAACATTACCGAGGGTTTGTGTTCATGGTATTGGGGTAGAACCTTCATCAAAGGGTGTTGGGGGGGTAGTATTTCCTGGATGACCTGGAAATGATTAAGAGAAGGGCCACCATGCATTTCAGATGCTGTAGCACTGTGCATTTTGAGGGCCACTGTAAATGTAGTATGATCAAGCAGGAATATTTTGGTGGTAGAACTGCTACAGCTTTGGTGAGCCTACAAGCCTGTTCAGTATAGAGCTACCAACCAAACAACACACCTACATAACTTCGAGAGATGAGCACAGTGTTTGTGGATAATGATTGTTGCAACACATACATCCCAACATGGTACTTTTAAAGTGTTATGGATATTCTATGAGGAAACTAAAGTCAGGATAATTCTTTCATGGGATGCATTTTACCAAAAGAGCATGATACGGGCAAATCTGGATGTGTCTGTTAGCATTTCTTTGCCACATCCAGAGATCTAAACTTGACCGATGTTATCGGATTACTGCTGGTGCTTCAAAATTGTAAGGTTGAGCAACGGCAGAGGCTCTGGGGCCTGGAGATGCAGGAATCGCTCTTGGGAGGCATAAAGCCTGGTATTGTTCTTTTTTCATTTTTTTCATCAGTAATTGCCAGCTCTGCTGTTTCCCATTTAGCTCCCTCTGGTCCCGGTTGTGTTTTTCCTGCCCACGGAGAGCACAGCTGTCACCAGCCATAGATGGTCTATTAGGACCATTATTATATTATTCTTGTTACCAAGGCTACGGCTCCACTATCACCAACACAGGGGTGTATCTGCATGTGGGGATCTGTTTTAAATACCTGCTCATTTCCAACTTGGTGTAAAGCTAGCTCAAAGCCACCCTCTCTCACCAATAACCCAGTTCGTTGTAAACTGGTTATGTTCTGATTTTACTCGTTAATATATAATTATAGATTTTAGGTACCTTGAGTGAGATTAGGGGAGGCCAGTCTTATCCGCAAAGGGCCGGTTGTGTCTGGAGATTTTTGGGATAATCTTTAGGTCAGCTGTTCAAACCCAGGTGTGAGGACTCTTCAGCCAATCAGTCCTCTGATTAGTAATCTAATCAGATGTTGGATGTTGCAGCAGAAACCCGCATACACACCGGCCCTTTCTGGATAAGGTTGGCCACCACTATTGGGTCAGATGAGACATGTGTATAGCGATCAAGTTAGGAGCTAAAGAGCTGAATATTCCAGGTACTCTCGCTGAGACTTTAAACATTCCTACTTTCTGCCTTGCTTGTGTGTTGACAAAGTTTTTTTTTCTTTGCCTCTAGCTTTTTGTGAGTTACTGTGTATTACTAATTTCAGACCAATTGGTAAGTCTATAAGATGTATAATATCTGAGCCGTATATATATATATATATATATATATATATATATATATATATATATATATTATTTACAAAATTAAACCACATGAGAACCTTAGTATGCCTCAGTACACAATATTCTATGGGTTTGTGGTGCTGGATTTACTAAAGTTGTGCGGTTTGACATAATCTGTGGTTATATGACACAAATAGTCACTGTGGATTAAAGTAGGCCAACTGTACATAAGACCAGGAAACAAAATCCAATGAGCAACTACAAAAAAATTCTACAACTTATTTACCTTCATTAAAACGAGTGGGAGCTCAGAGGTGCTGACAAGGTTTATGATGTGTTTACAAAATGTGATAGCGGTGGACTTTAGCACTTACCACACCCCAGCTGTCGCCGACTAGCATTGCCCCTAGCTGGTTTTGCAGTAAAGTGAGTGGAGGAGTGAGGAGGGGCTGGTTGCATTTAGCAAACAGGTGCTGGCTGCGGACACCTATGCAGTGTCAACTACAGCCACAAGGGGGCGAGAGAACATTTTGAGATCTGAGGTTACCGTTCTAGATGCAGGAATTTTACAGGCACATTAGGGCAGTCAGAAAAGTTCAGTCATAATACAAGATGTAATGAATTAAATGAAATGATTGCCTTTAATAAAATATATCTTATAACATTATAAGAGATGTTTAAAATGTTTTCCCCCTCTGTACTGTTGCATTTAAATTAAAGCAATTTACTTTGGGAATTATGAAACAAGTTTGTACAAAATCCCATATGGCTTCAGGGCCACTAATGCCCCACAGAACTGTTTTAGACATATAGGAATTTCAGGTGAACTATCTAGTGTGTAGTCTGGGGCTACAACCCCAAAAGGCTGCATTTGAAGATCGAATATGTCATAGCAGAGCGAAAAGGCTGTCCCATTTAGAAGGCTCCTTCAAATGTTTAGATGCACCCAATGGATCCTTTGCAGTCCAACATATCCCAAGATTCATTGCACAGAGGTCAAGTGGGTGTGTCCCTGCTAGACAATAAGAGCAGTGCTTCATGACTCAAGGGTAAGGGTGGGTATAGGTGGGTATAGGTGGGTATAGGTGATGAGGGTCAGACCATCCCATCTGACAAGGCTTTCCATTGGACCTTCGTAAGATGCGGGCTATGTCTGAATCCGGGGGCTACGTCCTTCTCAGGCTGCATTCAAAGACGGAATACGTCCCAGTTCGAAGGCTCCTTCAAATGTAGTCTAGGAACACATCCTTCTTTTGCAGAGTTGTGAAGGATCCAACGGGTGGACCCTTCGCAGCCCAACATGTCCCACAACTGCGTGGTCCTTCGAAGGATGTAGCCTACAATGCTACGTAGACCATGTCATTCGAAGGATATAGCCCTTGAATTCAGACACAGCTATAGTATATATTTTTTTTCGGTGTGAAACATTACCAAGGAGCCAGCAGGAGGTAGGAAAACGGGCCGGATGTGAGTGATGATTCGGATCTGGATGGCAAAGGATAGGCGGCACTGTTATCCTCTGGTACCAAAACCCAGCTGGGTCTGATTTGGGAGTCAAACAGGATCAGCTGAGTGGACCCATGTGGAGGCATGGAGAAAATGTCTCCAAGGACAGTGACCTTTTAATTATTTGGACTGGAAAAGCCATTATTTTTGCTCAGTTTCTTTGAGTTTCTTCTAGTTGAGGGTTTCCATACCATTCTTTTTTGTTCTGTGAAACAGTATATAATTGTTTTCTGACTGATTCGTGTGAATAAAATCATTAGGGTTTGATGAGACCCCATTGCTTTGTTTCCCTGTCTTGTGGTCAACATCTGCCCTAGAATATTTCACACACCTAACACACTCAACAGAAATCATACTAGATCAGTGAATTTGCAGTCATCATAACTACAGGTATTTTGAACTTACCTAGTTCATATTAAAAAATGCAAATTAATAAAAGTCAAACCAAAAGTCTAGATCTTACAGAGAGATCTTATGTATGCACATACTTGATCAGCTGACACACCGTATAAAGTATGACGATCATTCATTTTGTGTTTCATCAAGTATGTGTGCAAATGTGTAATCTTTACTAGTGTGATTAAATAGGCAGAATACATAATCTGAAGCAGGGATTTTATCATTGATATTTTTGCATTTGCAGTATGTTTTTCAATGAGTTCATATTGTAGGCAGGCCTATGAGGATGATTAATGAGGTGGTATATAATTTAAAGGTATATATAAAGAATTAATACATGAGGTAGGACTGTGGATGATTAATGAGGGGGTATATAATTTAAAGGTATATATAAAGAATTAATACAAGAGGTAGGACTGTAGATGATTAATGAGGGGGTATATAATTTAAAGGTATATATAAAGAATTAATACAAGAGGTAGGACATTATACATCTTATAGACTTACCAATGGGTCTGAAATTAGTAATACACAGTAACTCACAAAAAGAAAAAAAAACTTGTGCTGTAAATGTCAACACACAAGCAAGGTAGATGATTAATGAGGGGGTATATAATTTAAAGGTATATATATAAAGAATTAATACATGAGGTAGGACTGTGAGGATGGTCAGTGAGACATTATGGCTATAAATGTGATTTAGTAGCTGTTTAGAGAAAGGACCAGCAGAGAGACCTGGCTATACCACTCACGTCAGTGGCCTTCTTCTCGGCCTGCTCCAGCTTCTCCTGTGCGTCCTTCAGCGACTCCGACGATTTGTCCAGCTCGTCCTCGACACCCTTCAGCTTCTTCTGCAGGCCGAGCAGCTCCTCCTCCAGCTGCAAATGGGGGGGAGGGGGGGCGTTTCACCACAGATTGCTTTGCTTAGTCCAAGATCATCACCGCAGTCCTGGGTTCATATAAATCAAGTACAACGCCAAAATGAACCTTCCAGAATGACAACCAGCCTCGACTGGCCAGCCCTTCGCTTCCGGATTAGCTCACCATTCTTCTGAATTCATGGTTTGATTAATGAAGTTTTCAAGTTTAAAGTAGTAGATAATTTTTAAAAAATGGTGATTAATTGTTTAAACCTGAAACGTAACTTCACCTTTCTGCAAATAAAGACTAAGACTGTTTTTCTGTGATTTTATAGAGAGGAAAACTATTAATATATATTAACCAGAAAGCTATATTAAATCACTTAAGTTAAAATAAATATAATTTGGACTGTAATAATTTGGTTGCATACAAACAAGTCATTTAAGTCATTTCATGATAAGCTCATTAACAGAAGACAAATTGTGCCTTGTGTTTCACCTTTTTTTTCTGGCCGAATGCCATATGAATTCATCCATAAGTGATTAAAAAAATGAACAGTAATTCAGTGTCAGCTACATTTGTATCCCCCAAACACTGAAGGCAAACAACAGCAGATATCAATTGCTAACACAGATTTGGAGCAAACTTTGGTTAGATAATGGATAGACAGAGTCATGAGCCTATTTTCCTTATAAACTATAAACATTATCAATATTGCAGCGTTTGTGAAGTTTTCTGCTTATGTTCATTTGGATTATTGTGACCTCTGAGCCAACATGTGCTGCTTGTGAGGTATGTTGGTGGAAAGCTGAATGCTGCAGAGGTTTTTGGGATGGATGGGGGCAGATTTACAAAGAGTCCCCCCCCCAGAGTGCGTGTGGATGGTCCCTTCAGCCAGCCCACTACCAATGGACCTACTTCCTATTTATCGCCTAGAAATCAGCCACAGCACTCAAAGAGAAACTCTGAACTGAGCACATTGCTTTGCTTTTTTGAGTATTCTTTCAACTACAGCAGCTTTTTTTGAAGGTACGACTGACCCAAAGGCCCAAGTCCGGTTATCAAAATAGGCTCAGAGGTTGGGAAATGCTTGGGACAAACATCCTTCTTTTATTGTGGAATTCTGTCCTCTAAAACCTCCATAATTCATGGTGTTCAGGATACACTTGACTCATGTTCAAAATTAACAGTAGCAGATCAACCAATCAACCAATCAACCATCCATGTTCTGTAACCATTTATCCTATTCAGAGTCTATCCTGGAAGCTACGGGCACAAGGCAGGCAGATCTGCTACATAACACATATCATCAAACTCACCTGGCAGTTTTAAAATTTAAGAAAAGAAAAAAGCGGAACTGCAAAAATCTTTGCAGAACTGCACACTGTTATTCTAGTGCCCCATCTGTCAGATTCTGTCGGCCTTTTGTCCCCAGCTATGCGAGGCATCAAGGCTTCCAGTTCACAAATAGCCATGGCCTTTGTTGTCCCCGTTTTGGCACTGCTGGGGTCCCATGTGCCACCAAGGTGGCGTCTTTGACCCATGGTGCAGGATCGACAAAAGCCGTGCCCCCCTTTTTATTGTGACAGACGGTGGATGCCATTGAAAACACCGAAAATAGACCTATGACAGCAAGACCACCATCATGGAAGATGAAAACAATGGATTGGAATGCACCAAGATGGATTCCTTTCTTGGGGCAAAATTATTAACATTTTCTTCATCTTATTTATCACTGTAACTGTGATAACAGCCATAACCTGAAGCTGAAGTAGCAGAAGCCTGGCAGAAAATAAAGACTAATTCAGAAACTCTATTTTTATGTTGCCGTAACTGAATAGAAACCAATATATCAAAGACTAGGTACCCAGGACTGTACCTTTACAGAGAAGTGAAGGACATCACCTCAAAAAATGGGACAGATAGTTTCAGTTCCACTTATTTAAGATTATGAAACAAATTTCACATTAGTTAACAACTAGTCAATAGCATAAGTCTATGACCTGTAATGAGCAAATGAGTACTGTACCTTTAAGACACTTATGTTCACCTTATGTTAGTGCAATACTGCGAACTGTTGCACTCTATTCTGAGTTGATCCTGGACAATGGTAAAGTACCTTCTTGCTAGAAATACTGCTGTCTGGACTCTATTGAAAGGAAAGGCGCTAGCATCAAGCAGGTTAACTCAGTTCAGCACTTTTTCCCTCGCTGATTATGAAATATTATATCTAAAGAATGTCATTTCCCAACAGAGCAGGAGAAAAATCAGCGTCATTCAGGCAAAAAAAAGCAGCCACAAGAGAATAAGGCCCAATGCCTTTGTGATTCGCCATGAGGAAAAATTACGAGGGGGCTTCACTGTTTTGGAATGTTCCTTTCTGGACAATGCCTGAATTATCTGCTAGGAAATTCAAGGAGCTATGTCCGGTGTCTCAAAGGGGTTATTGAGCCATGGAGATCAAGGCAGCATGGATGGATGGCCTTAACAGCAACCAAGGTCATCTGAAAGACAGTGTCAGCTCATTGACCGGTTCCTGAAGCAGGCAACCTTCCAATGGGCCAAGAGAGAAGGGTGACAGTAGGTAAAATAGCGAGAGTGAGATGTCACAGTTGGAGGGTGAGGCCTATTCCGTATATTCCATCATTCCAAAGTGTTTCAGCAGAGGCTAGGCTGAATTTTGAATTCAAGGATTCAACAGGTTTTAAAATTCTGCAAAGCCAAAATGGTCGATACTAGCTAACACTTGGAAAGTTTGTTTCTACAGCCATCATGGCCCACACCTTCTCGCAATGCAACTTAAGCAATGCGAGAACTTCAAATGAAGATCAGAAGGCTGGTTTCATACATCCTCCAGTAGCCTTCAACAATAATGCCAAATGATTCGAAGGTCTGGCTTTTCCAAACCGCTAAACTTTGACTGAAGGCATCCACCATCTGCTGATCAAAAAGATGGCAGCGGTGATGTGTCATCACCTGCACGAAGAGGGTTAATTAAAACAGTATGACCCCCCCCCCTCCTATTCATGGCATGTTCAGCAGCACAACTGACATCTGCTCCACAAATCTGGTATGTACTCAATCAGTCTGACCTTGAGAATGTTAAAACACAAATGACTCATGTTAGTGCTTCACTCCTATCCATAGAACAGTCAAAAATACAACAGCTAATACACCTACAAATAAGATTAACCCGTTCATCTGGTCTGTGAGTCTCCACTAGACTATCTATGGATAAGTGGCTGGAAAATAGATGAATGGGTCTCCTTGGAAAGTCAAGTCAGGAAACAGGATACTTTTGCTTCTTTTAATATGAAGCCCAGGGAGACGTTACTTCTTACCACATTCTTTACATAAATTCTGTAATAATACATTTACAACGTATCTAATTTCACAGATTCACGTTGGACTTCATGAACTATCAAACCCACTCTTGCTGTGGGTTAGGGGACGTAACACTGTTTGCGATCACGTTTCTCTAGCTGACCTAAGCGAAATGCAGAATCGATATCTATAATTGCATTTTATCACTCATCAATTTGGAATGCTGCATAGATACTAAATAAGGTGAATTATACTACCATCCTACTGATTCGGAAAAACAATTACAATATTTGAACACGTTTTAATTGGCCATATGAATATGTATAAAATAGAAAAAAGCAGTTTTTGATCGTGGCAAAACTATGTCAAAGTTAGAGATATTTTGACGATTATGATTTACAAGAAAATTACCTAAAATAAGTAAATATTCTAATGATTTTAATCGCACATACTTGTGACAGATGGTAGATGATACAGGCAAGTCATGTGAAGTTCAGGGTTTTCTTTTTTTGTGTGTTTTTACAATATATTCATGTTGTAGACTGGGGCACTTCGAGAGGACTGATTTAATCAGGCTGCTGATATAAGCAACGAACTTACCTGCTTGCATTTGTCTTCTGCCCCCTTTTTGTCCATCTCGGCTTGCTCAGCCCGATCCATGGCATTCTCCTTATCCAGTTTTAGCATCTGCATTTTCTTCTTAATGGCCTCCATCGTTGCTTTTGTTTTTTGAGCCCAACGAGAATAAAAGTGGTTCAAAGTTGACGCCAAAGAAACAGGAGGAGGTGGAGAAGGAGGAGGTGGTGGAGCAGCACCGCGAGCAGCTGGAGTCGAGTGATAGAACAAAAAGCGTGCGGGGAGGGTAATGAGGGAGGCAGGGGCGCACACGGAGCCGCGCGGGACTTTTTTGGGGAGGTCAGTCGGGTCCCTGACGTCGGCCGCCTGTGATTTGTTCTGTAGAATCGCCTTAGAATTTAGCGCAGATATTTTGTCCATCTTTGGGAGGCTGCGATTACTCTTTATGTTCAAATCACACTGGAATGAAATTTTGTCCTAAATATATCTCCAGAGAGAAGCCCGAACCATCCCGTGAAATCACTGCCGTGATCGACTTTCTGCCGGTTTACAGTGTAATTTATTTAACATGTTTATGTCTTGCGGACTGTTTTAGTTATGTAATAGTTTAAGCTTGTGGGTTTTTGGATGCTGGCGAAGGCATGCTTTTAACCATGTAAAGTGATTTAACAAAAAGGCACTGTATCCTTCATGTTGTCTGGAGGCGACCATCAGGTTATATTCTGCATCTAAACATGTATCAGTCTCGTATCGGTGTTTTTTACGGCGGGGAAGTGCATGGCCGCTTGCGAATTGTAACGTTATGTACAGCTTTCTGAAATGCGTTTATGTATTTTTTATTCTTTGAAGGCATGTTAATCTTTACTGCCATCGGTTTAAAATATAAAATTATCATACTCAGTTTTACAATAGTCAATCAAAAATGACGATATCAGTCCTTTCTTTATAAACCAGCTTTATTAAATGAAAATGCTTCCAAACATAACTGTTCTTTACATAAAGACGGGTCCCCCAAAAGCACTGTTAATTGATTGATAGAGTATCAAAATGAAAAAGCAAAATGGAAAAAAACACCATAGAATCCAAAATATAATGTTCGGCCAGCCGGATGCTCCTGACCAACAGATTGTCTGAACCTCAGGTCTGTCAATTCTGTTTGTATGGACCAAAGCTTATACAAACTCTCAGTAAAGATAAAGACCGAAAAGGAGAGAGAGAAAAAGACATAACTTTGAAAAGTGGACTTCCATGACTTTAGAAACTGAAGAATCTGATAAGTGCACTTGGAGACAAGGAAAGGTTAACCATCACAAACACAATACCATATAAAATACATACACAGGCACTTTTCTGATGCAGTGGCAATCCGACTGGACAGGAAGGTACGACGAAGGCCTTTGATCATATACAGGTAACACTGGATAAATAAAATATATTATTTATCATAGAAATATTTATCAGATCACATTGATAAACTGTCGATTCAATTTCAAATGCTGAAATTGTTTATCTGTACCTATAGTATTAATATCGATGTAGAACATCCATATATGTAAAATTTAGGCACAAACACCGATGGGGGTAGCCAGAGCATGACCTTCGAGCATTAGCCATAAAAATGCAATTTATAAATTTTTTTATAAAACTCAGGAAAACTACTAAGATATACTGAGTGTTAATATACATTGCTCTAAAAGCAGACCCTTTGGAAAAAAAAACCTCAGACACTTTATTAATATATAAATTTAATAGAAGATATCATTTGTAACATTTCATTGCTTTAAAAAAAAAAATGATATGTATGCCTTCTTGAATTGTATCAACGCAAAAATCAATCATTGCACTTCTGGTCCAAACTGCAACAGCTGCACCCTGAATGTCCTGGACTGAGTCTCGTCCTGCTGCTCCGGTCGAAAGGTGCTCTCCGCAGAACCTTCCAGAGGGTCTGAAGGTTCCGCACAGCTTGAAAATTAAGTTCTTACGATGAAGACTGTTGTCCGATTACTCAGTGAAATAAGAGTTAAAGTTAAAATCTCACCCTCGAGTCATCATTGGGGCAACTGAAATTTCCTAATAATTAAGCGACAGCAAAAACAGACCCTTGCGAAGGTGTATGTTTTTTGCTCACCGAAATGCATTTCGAAGCTGAAACAGGAATTTGCCTTGATGTTTTTTTTTTGTTTGTTTTTCAATAAAGCCATAGCCACGGTCGCTGAATGAGCGAGCGGATGCTAACCTACAGTTAATCACCAAGTTAACCACATAGAAGTAATAAAAACACAGTTTCTCGACAAATATGCATACATCATTCAAACAAACAAGTGGCACCGTGAAGCTTTTTATGTGTGATGAACAGAAAAAAAATTAAAATAGAAAACTCAATATAACTCTTTTACGAACATGTTTTCTTTGATCGCGTAGCCATATTGCTTCCATAAGCGTAATACCATGATGTCGCTGCCTGGATAAGCAGCCGATTGGTTACTCAGCCACGAGCCTCGACTCGCCTCGCCTCCACCCTGCGAGGGCCCCTTGCCGGGTCGGCATGCCTCACTGGTCTTGCCTATCTTCCCGCAGCTCTGACGGGAGGAACTTGTACTGCTGCTGCCGGATCATGGCCAGCTTCTTGCGGGCCTCGTCCAGCTCCCGCTCTTTGCGCAGCATCTCCTCCTGAGCCGCGATGATCTGGGGGGGGGATTCTTAATTATCATCATCATCATCAACAACAGTAACAATGATGTGTTATGCTGTGGATTGTTTCCAGAAGGTTGCCAGTTCAAGTCCTGTGGCTGCCAGAGTAATGATGTCCTTGTTGGGCCCTTGAGGATTCAAGCCTCATGTGTGCAGGGCTCTCATCAAGGCCCCAACGCTCTTCTTACCTGAGCGATGCCACCAACCATCTTGTTCTTGACCACAACGTCCTGGTCGTCGTGGACGTCGAAGGCTGCTTTCTGTGCCGCCTTCACTAGGTTGTCCGAGGCCCGCTTCACGGCATTTCCAGCGGCCTGGAAGAAGCACGTGCACGTGTTGGTTATATTCAGCTTACCGACACACCAGTAGGCATCACAGCATGTAAAGAAGTCAACTCAACAGTAGAACGCAGTAATGAGCAAGATGCATTTTTCTAATCTCAAAAATGTTGGGAGAAGCAAGTATTGTTCATTCGATATATACAAGCCCATATCAGATCATTTTTAATGTACCCTTTCAACAACTTGCAATACAAGTACAGGATGAAATCCCAGATTTAATGCATTGATTAAATAATATCTGTTAATGATGAGGATGGTCATTGGGAAGCAATCATATACAATGGCATCTGTCCAACCATTGTCCATACCCGCTTGTCCTATGCAAGGGGGTCCGGAGCCTATCCCGGAAGCTAGGGATGGCTAAATGAAGCTTCATGAACCATTTGCTGCATTTTTTCACCCCACTAGATGTTGGGCTTTGTTTGCTTCAGGGCATGCTTTGAGCCCATTTTTGAACAGAGAGCACCACCTAGTGGGGTCAAAAAATACAGCAAGTGGTTCATGAAGCTTCATTTGGCCATCACCACTGGAAGCTAGGGGCACAAGGCAGGGAATAACCCAAGATGGGGTGTCAACCCATCACAAGGCATTCACAGACAACAATGCCCAAAAAACCAAGCGATCCATTTCTCCACCACGCTAACGTAAAGGGACAAATCAATCAGTCCTGACTGATCTCAGGGTGAAATAAAAAGTTTTATAAGCAGCATTTGCCAGGCAGTGACTCATTGCTGCTTCAGATCACTACATCTTGTCCTCAGTGTTAATAAACAGTCACTTCTGTAATGGGAATGCAGACGTCTGCCAGGTCTTGCAAGAAACCAAGACACCCATATTTCCTGGTCCTTCCCGAATGGCTTTAAAAGGCAATGCTGGAAGAGCAGAAGTGATGCTCATAGTGACTCATCGGAGGGGAGACGTACATCTGGCAGGCAGCGGATCGCAAACAACCATTTTTTTTGCCTTTTCAGGCTCCGTAGGGGTGATGCTGCCATGCTGGCCAGCACAGGTCTTCTGACACCCAGGAAGATGCAGAATGCTTTCCAAAGACTGGGGCACTGGTTACGTCACCGACTTTTTAATATCCGGAAAATGTGTGAAAACAGTGTCTTCTTAAAATGAAGAGTAAAATCCAAGGAGAACATTTACTGGCCATGAGGAAATGCTTTCTAAACAGACATGATGGATTCAGACTCATTCTTTACCAGGTGACAGAGGTGTTTTTTACCATTATCGTTTGGTACGAAATATTCATAAAAAGCATTTGCAGGTTGAATGAAAAATGAGGCCCATGTGTCATTTCAAATCATCAGATTAATCAAAGAAGTATTTTAAATTTACAGGTCTGTGTTTTATTCTATCTAATTATTTAGCAGGTGCTTTTATCCAAAGCGATGTACTTTTTTTTTTTTTTAGCAAGCAGGGGCAGAAAGTTCCTGGAGCAATTGGTAGTTAAAGGCCTCGCTCAGGGGCCCAACGGTGACATCACTCTGCTGGCACTGGGATTGGAGCCAGCGACCATCCTATTACAAGCACAGCATCCTAACCCACTGAGCCACAACCACTCCAGCGAATAATGATCATCCTGTCCTCCAAATCACGCTATTTTCCTTCTACTTCAACAATGAACAGTGTCATTTTGATGTATCCCTGCCCCTGATTCTTTATACTTTCTCATTCTGACTTGCCCAATAACAGAAGATATTTTGGATGACTGTCGACTCCGTCAGCCAATAAAATAGCTGCACTCAGTCCTTGTGTCCGAGCCACCTGTTGCTGTCACTGTACCGCTCCGCCGGCCTGTGTCCCTCCTGCATTATATCCACTCTGGCTCAGCAACAAAACCTGTATCTCTTAAATTAGGCAGGCTGGAAAATAAATATCTGTAGCGTAGCCAAGGAATCGCTAACAGGAGTTTCTTTTTTCCCCCCTCCACAGCTTTTCAACAATAACTCAGGCCTGCAAAAAATATCAGTCCGCTATGGAGCTGACAGTCATCCGAATCCAAGGCTCGGGTTTCAAGTGACAATCTTAGCTGCCTGAAGGAAACTCAGGTGGATGGACATAAAACACAAACACAGAGACGTTACCCAGCAGCTGCGTGTTAAGTGCTGGACAAGATAAGTCTCCGTTGATTGGTTGAGAGAACACGAGAAGTCCCACCATCCAATTCGGGGTGGCAAACACGCCATGTTGCTTTACGGAGGCCCTATTTCTAGACAGGGATTAAAACCCTGTAGGTTTCAGAATACAAGATGTAACTACTAAGGCCTGCTTTATGAAATAGATGTCTTCTGTTGATAAATGATGAGATTTGAGTTATACGTGCTAAGCTTCGAGAGCTAAAATGTATCCTCTTGTATAAATGAAACGTGCCAACAAGGTTTATCTGTTGAACCCACAGTTATATCGTGACAGTGGTGAATGCGAGTAAGACTGGACACACATTTGATGGCAGTGTTGAGTTTGCAGACAGTGATGTGTGGGGATGAACCTCCTAGAATGGGGGAATGGTCACGTGAAACGCCCTTCAGTCCACTTCATTGGTGCCTTCATCCCATGTGACTGGGAATGAATTTTGCATAAACAATCAGCCTTTCTGTGACTCAACTCTGACACCTTTCCTCTCACAGCTTTTATAAACCCTCTCCACTGCCGTCCCCCAAAAAAATCCCTGTTCCTTCCCCCATTCCCATGTCATGTGGTTCTATTCTCTGTCCCACCCGGAGTGACTCTGTGAAGTATTTATTCATACTTGCGTTGACCTTGTCTAGACCTTCTTGACCAAACATGCCAAAGCATCTCTGCCCCACAGGCAAACACAGGTGAGAGTGCTGGACGCCTCATTATTTTAGGAGGTGATGAAGCGACCCTGTTCCTTGCAGTTTGGAGACACCCAACAAAACCGTCTTTGCAAACTCTGCATGGAAGATGACCTTCATGCTTCGCTGCAAGTGGACAGGACCTCCGCAGCGTCTGGAGCTGCCAGTAACCCAGCAACACGGTTAGGTGTTCCAGATGATGCAGCCCATTAACGAAAACTACAGCCTGATGCTCTTTCGACCAAGTTCAACCAACCACATTGATTTCGGCACCCGACTGATTCCGATGTATCATCTGGCAACAGCAGATAGGTTGGGTGGGAGGTCTGAAGTAACCTGGGCTAAATACAGAACTGCCTAATCCTAATGTGACAGCTGTACATATGGGCGGGGGGAGGGGGGGGGGGGTGGCTGCCATGTAACCCTAGAAATTGAAACACCCTCCTTTACCTTGGCTATTTTTGACTCTGGGCTTTCTAGTCGTACTTCATTTCACCTTATTGTTAAGGAGGCGGTCAACAAACAAAAGGTTTCTTGACGTGTAATTAAAATAGAAGCCCTAAGGTCAGCAGATTTTAAAGTTCTGATACCAGTCGAGTCGGGAAAGAGATGAGAAGATTCTCAGAGTCCAAAATGACCCGTGCGCGTAACAATAAGTGTAAATGTCAAACACAATTTCCGAAATTAAAGGAGGATAGCTCCTAATATGTAAGCATCCCCGGCATTATCTGCATCACTGAAGTATGTTTCTACAATAATAATACATAAAGCCAGCAGGCTAACAGTCTACAAAACCCTGCTTGTGGTTTGTTTAGCAGCTGATGTGTACTGGTTGGAGGATTTAAGGCTGACTGTTTGTACTGGGCTGGATCGCATGAGATGTCAGGGGGTCTGACCTGGAGCCTCTTCATGGTCTGGGAGTCCTGGTCGGCCTTGACCTTGCAGGCCACCAGCAGCTGTGCGGTGGAGGCGGCCACCTGCTTGGCCGAGGAGATGAGCTTCTCCTCGCTGGCATGGCCCTGCACTGCGGAGTTTGCCGCCTCGCACAGGTTGTTGGTTGCCGCGGCGACCATTCGAGCCTATCGGGATACGGCAATGAGGGTAGAGGGACTTAGAAAAACACTTATTATATTATACCACTGGAGTAATGGTGTTAATCACTGAACCTGTAAAATCAGTCTTTTGTTCACATTCTAACCTAAAATTATGACTTTCCTTGAACAATGAACATTTTGATTAGGGGTGCACCGATTGCAGTTTTCTGGCCGATCAACGATCACCGATCCTTAGGCAACCTT